CCAGACAAACTCTTGTCGGCTGCCGCTGCTGCCACATATTCTTTCTTTCTTCTTTCAACACACCGGCTGTATCCCACCGAGGTGGGGTGGCCCAAAAGGAAAAATAAAAGTTTCTCCTTTTACATTTAGCAATATATACAGGAGAAGAGGTTACTAGATCCTTGCTCCCGGCATTTTAGTCGCCTCTTACAACACGCATGGCTTATGGAGGAAGAATTCTGTTCCAGTTCCCCATGGAGGTAAGAGGAAATAAACAAGAACAAGAACTAGTAAGAAAAATGGAAGAAAACCCAGAGGGGTGTGTATATACATATATGTTTGTACATGTATGTGTAGTGTGACCTAAGTGTAAGTAGAAGTAGCAAGACGTACCTGAAACCTTGCATGTTTATGAGACAGAAAAATGGACACCAGCAATCGTACCATCATGTAAAACAATTACAGGTTTCCGTTTTACACTCACTTGGCAGGACGGTAGTACCTCCCTGGGCGGTTGCTGTCTACCAACCTGCTACCTAGGTGCCACATATATAATGACATATTTTATTCATTCTAGAGTATATATCAGGTTTCTATGTTATTTATACTGTTATGTCATACTAGATGAACTGTGATAGATAAATAAGCCGTAGAGTTGATATTAGCGAAATTATTGAATTACAGAATTCCACTGGAACGGATTAATTGCATTTCAATTAATTTAAGTGAGGAAAATTGACTCTGCAAACGAGCAAATCCAGTTGTGAGCAAGGTCATGGAACGGATTAAACTCGCAAGTAGAGGTTCCACTGTATTCTGATAATTGTACTTATGTGTACCTTTTTTTTTTTTTTTTTTTCTCAACAAGTCGGCCGTCTCCCACAGAGGCAGGGTGACCCAAAAAAGAAAGAAAATCCCCAAAAAGAAAATACTTTCATCATCATTCAACACTTTCACCACACTCACACATTATCACTGTTTTTGCAGAGGTGCTCAGAATACAACAGTTTAGAAGCATACACATAAAGATACACAACATATCCCTCCAAACTGCCAATATCCCAAACCCCTCCTTTAAAGTGCAGGCATTGTACTTACCATTTCCAGGACTCAAGTCCGACTATATGAAAATAACCGGTTTCCCTGAATCCCTTCACTAAATATTACCCTGCTCACACTCCAACAGATCGTCAGGTCCCAAGTACCATTCGTCTCCATTCACTCCTATCTAACATGCTCACGCACGCTTGCTGGAAGTCCAAGCCCCTTGCCCACAAAACCTCCTTTACCCCCTCTCTCCAACCCTTTCGAGGACGACCCCTACCCCGCCTTCCTTCCCCTATAGATTTATATGCTTTCCATGTCATTCTACTTTGATCCATTCTCTCTAAATGACCAAACCACCTCAACAACCCCTCTTCTGCCCTCTGACTAATACTTTTATTAACTCCACACCTTTTCCTAATTTCCACACTTCGAATTTTCTGCATAATATTTACACCACACATTGCCCTTAAACAGGACATGTCCACTGCCTCCAACCGTCTCCTCGCTGCTGCATTTACCACCCAAGCTTCACACCCATATAAAAGCGTTGGTACTACTATACTTTCATACATTCCCTTCTTTGCCTCCATAGATAACGTTTTTTGACTCCACATATACCTCAACGCACCACTCACCTTTTTTCCCTCATCAATTCTATGATTAACCTCATCCTTCATAAATCCATCCGCCGACACGTCAACTCCCAAGTATCTGAAAACATTCACTTCTTCCATACTCCTCCTCCCCAATTTGATATCCAATTTTTCTTTATCTAAATCATTTGATACCCTCATCACCTTAGTCTTTTCTATGTTCACTTTCAACTTTCTAACCTTTACACACATTCCCAAACTCATCCACTAACCTTTGCAATTTTTCTTTAGAATCTCCCATAAGCACAGTATCATCAGCAAAAAGTAACTGTGTCAATTCCCATTTTGAATCTGATTCCCCAAAATTTAATCCCACCCCCTCTCCCGAACACCCTAGCATTTACTTCCTTTACAACCCCCATCTATAAATATATTAAACAACCATGGTGACATTACACATCCCTGTCTAAGACCTATTTTTACCGGAAGTAGTCTCCCTCTCTTCTCACACCCAAACCTTTCCTCACTATCCTCATAAAAACCTTTACAGCATTTAATAACTTGCCACCTATTCCATATCTTGAAAACATCTGCCCATTGCTCCTCTATCCATCTATCATATTCTTTTCTAAATCCATAAATGCAATAAAAACTTCCCCCCCTTTATTAAAATACGTTCACATATATGCTTCAATGTAAACACTTGATTACACCCCCTCCCCACTCTGAAACCCCCTTGCTCATCTGCAACCTACATTCTGTCTTACCTCAATTCTTTCAATTATAACCCCCCAAACCCTTTTTTCCTGGTAAAACCAGTAAATTTTTCCCTCTAAAATTTTTTACAGTTCTTTTGTCCCCTTTCCCTTTATATAAGGGACTAACATGCTCTCCACCAATCCCTAGGTACCTTCCCCTCTTTCAACTTTTATTAAACAAAATACCAACCACTCCAACACTAAAAATCCCCCCCTGCTTTTAACATTTCTGTCATGATCCCATCTTCCAGCTGCTTTAAACCCCCTTTCATTCTATGTAACCCTCCTTACCTCCCCCCACACTTACATTTTGTCTTCTTTCATCCCAAAAGATGGTAACCTCCCTGACAGTGAGAAATTACTGCCTCTCTTTCTTCCTTAACATTTAAAAGTTCCTCAAAAAATATTCTCGCCATTTCCAAAACCTCCCCTCCCCATCTATAACTCCCCACTCGTTTTTTAAATGAAAATCCCAAATTTCCCTAGGTTTTTTTTAACTTTTTAACTCACTCCAAAATTTTTTTTTATTTTCATTAAAATTTCTTGACAGTGCCTCTCCCACTCTACATCTGCTCTCCTTTTGCACTCTCTCAAACCCCTTCTTACCTTTCTTATTTCCTATACCCAAATAAAATTACACACTGTGCTGGCATGGGTTATGCATTAATATCACAAAAAATGTTTGCCAGTGTTGAAGCGCCCGTAATAATAAAAATAACACGGGGGATTTTAAATTGTTGGGGAAAATTACATTACTATAAGCATTTTCATTTAATCCATTTTGAGGATTTCAATACCCTCATAGCCCCTTCCCTAAAAAGGGGTTTGGGACGAGAATGGGAGTGTTCTGTTATTTATTTTACTGCCCCCAATGTAAGAAAACTTTAGAAAATGTAAGGGTTTGATTGGGGGAAAAAGTTTCACAAACGCTGAAAAAAAGCAAAATAATGTACAGAACGCAAGTGGACAGGTATAAATACTCATTCACGACCATCCATCACCAACAGTTTGTTTACTTTTCCCCGGGATCTCTCTCTTTCATCTTACGAGGTTTCAAAGGGTAATTGTTAAAAAAAGGAGTCAAAAGCCTTTCCCTTCAAATCCAAGTTAAAATTTTTTAAACCCGGGTGAAAAAATTTATGCCAAGGGCAAAAAAATAATAATAAAAATAATAATAAAATAATAAAAATAAAAGTTTTTAAAAATGTTGTATTTTTTTTTTTTTTAATATGCGGGCTGTCTCCCACCAAGGCAGGGCAACCAAAAAAAATACATTTCCACTATCATTCAAACAAATCACTGTTTTTGCAAAAGTGTGCAGACAAAAAGTTCAAATGTCAATCCAAAGACAAATACCCAAACCCCCAAATCAAATACAAATACAAAATGGGTTTTTGACATAGTTATATTGCGTGATACTGTGCTCTTGGGAGATTCAAACGAATTGCAATGGTTAGTGGACAAAACTTGAAAGGGTGTAAAGGAAGAAAGTTTAAAATGAACAAAGAAACAATGGGGGGATAAAAGGGGATCAAACGGTTAGGTAAAGAAAACGGTATCACATTGAAGGGGGGGGTTGGAAGAAGAAATGTGTTTTGATATTTGGGAGTAGACCTGTCAGTGGTTGGGGTTTTTGAAACAAAATAAACCATAAAAATGGAAGGAAAAAAGGCGGGAGTGCATGAGGAAACGTGGAGACAAAGAACATTATCCACAAGGCAAAAAAGGGGAAAGTATGAGAACAGTGGGACCAACATTTATATAGGTACGAAACATGGGTTGTAAATGCGCAGTTGGGGGAAACCCGGGGGCAGGGGATATGTCTGTTTTAGGCAAGTTTGGTGTTATATTATGCAAAATTAGGAGGGGGTGTGGAGTTGCTAAAAAAATTAGCAGAAATTAGGAGGAGGTGGGAGTTGCTAAAAGTATCCTCAGAACTGAGAGGGGGTTGTTTTAGGGGTTTGGTCATTTAGAGAGGTGGAGCAAATAAAATGACTTGGGGGGGTTTTATAAATCTTTAGTGGGGGGGAGGGGGGTAGAGGTTGTTTAGGGAAAAGGGTGGAGGGAGGGGGTAAAAGAGATTTTTTGTGGAAGGGCTTGGACAATAGGGGGCATGTGTGAGCGGTTTGATACGGTGAAGGAAACAAATAGTTTTGGGACTTTTTTAGCTGTTGGAGTGTGAACAGAGTAAAATTTTGTAAAGGGTTAGGAAATTGGGTTTCTGGACTTGAGTCCTGGGGGTGGGAATACAATGCCGCATTTTAAGGGGGGTTTGGGTTTTGATGTTTAAATGTTGTATCTGATGCCCCTGCAAAAACAGTGATTATGTTAATAAAAGGGAAAAATGTTTCCTTCTTTTTTTTTTTTTTTTTTTTTTTTTTTTTTTTTTTTTGGGGTCACCCTGCTTCAGTGGGAGATGGCTGACATGCTGAAAAAAAAGAGTATACATAACGAACAACTGAAACTAACCTTCAAAAGAAATTGTGTGCAACTTGTGTAAAATAAGCTTTTTTTTTTAAGAAATAATTTAAGGAACTACTCTAGTAATTCTGTCTTCTTCTTTAGTAATTACATATAGTAAATTATATGAATATTTCTTTAAATTTCTGGTGGTATCACTTACCAGTAAAGAAGAAAGTTGTTGAGACAATGATGTAGAAATGGTTAAAAGTTTAGTCATTGGTGCTTGATACAAGGGTAAACTGGTAGCCTTGTTAGCACTATCATTGTTAGCTCTTGCAGCCACAATATCTCCTTCACTAATGTTTAGGGCCTCATTAAGCGTCTCCTGCAAACATTTGGCTTGAAACATAGCAGCTAAGACCAACTCTCTGGGCTCTTTGTTGCCTACTGCTGGTTCTCCTGCCATGTCAACGACATTCTCAAAGTGCTCGTGCGGAATGTTTAGGATGTCAGCAATAATATGTTGCTTTTCCTCCAATGCCTGGCGAATTTTTAAGTCTTTTCGCCGTAGATGCTCTGCAATATAAATGCAAAGACCATCAGTGACCTATTATACAGTATACAAGCACAAAATACCTACCATGTTGTAGAGTTGCTTATTAATCTTTATATCAAATGCTGAAGAAATTGACGATATGTATTGTTAATATTTTTTTTTGTTTTTAAGAAATGCAAATTCTCCAAGAAATCACATGTATCAATGTAAGCTTCATAAACTAATATTATCAATTAAGAATGTATTTAAACATATCGAATGCTTAAGAAAATATACTAATATTACTGATTAAAATTCCATTTTTTTATTTGCTCTTGATTTGGCTGAAGGTCTACACTGTCCTTTCTAAATGCCTTAGTCATAAATTAACAAATGAACTAAGTTGTATTATTTCCAGTTACTGTACTATGGTTAGAATGCATATCTAAACTAATTGTCTTTCATGTTCTCATTCAATTAACGTCAGTATACAGTATTATTTATTTCGTGATGCTTATAAACAGAAAAAACTAACACTGATTCAAACATATTTTTTTTTTCAAATTACCCAAAATTCTGCTTTCCATACACCTGTATTATGTTTATAATAAAAATAAAAACTATACATTAATGAACTTGGTCTAATGGAAAGCATTCACAAGTCTTCTATGTTTTATCATAGACTTGTCACGCTAAGAATTAACAATGCTCCTCTTAATACCCTCATCCCACTATGTTTTTTTGGTGAACAATTGCTGACATATTGATAGATTAATTTTTTTTTTTAACACATTGGCTGTTTCCCACCAAGGTAGGGTGGCCCAAAAAAGAAAAAACTTTTATCATTCACTCCATCACTGTCTTGCCAGAGGCATGCTTACACTACAGTTATAAAACTGCAACACTAACACCCTTCCTTCAGAGTGCTGGCACTGTACTTCCCATCTCCAGGAATCAAGTCCACTTAATAACTAATCAAGACAGATTAGTTGTATATATTAGTTGAAAAGTCTATATGAAAAAGGACAGAACCCAAATTAGATTGAAACTATAGAAATACAACTACAGATAATTCAAACTTTTTTCATCCACACCAACTTTCCGTAGTTGCATCTTCTTGAATATTTTTTTATTTTTTAGATATTTCCTTCATCCATTTTTTTTATATCAGACTTATGCATATACAGTATATCCATTTTGTTCACTGGGCAATATTAAAAGGCTTTTAAAATCCAATAAATTCCAAAGCCCTTCCACATGTACATTCTAGGAGTTTTTAGATATAGTCTTGTCATATCCTCTTTATTGTATATAAAGTACGTCTTCCTACACTTTTAAATAAAAACAATAAAAATTTTCTTAACACCTTAGTCACTATTCTTTTGTGCAAGATTCATTTTTATTTTTACTTTATTACTAAATTCCTTCAGTACTTCTGTATTCTATTCTTGTTTATGGAAAATGAAACAAATAATTAGTGAACAAAATTAATATTTATCTAATAGGTAATGTAGCCTTGATAATATGAAAAGCAATTGGAAAAGACCAAACATAAGAAATTAAAAATAATTAAAGTACATCTAGTGTACTGTAAGAATATGTTCAGCTCAAATGGCAATCAATTATGTAATGATACAACGTGAATACTGCCTAGGTGAAACCTACTAGAAGAAAATGTGTTAAGATATCTTATAACTTTTCTGCTATAACAATTCAGCTTCTCAAATGAGGAAGTTGGGGAAAGGGGCACATTTAATGTGCTAGATGGTAATTCTATTTTGTTTTATCCTTTGGTAAACTTTGTTATAAACACAAAAACAAACACATACACATACAACACAAACACTCACACCCACTCACTCTCTCACCCACCCACTCACACACTCACTCACCCACACTCTCTCTCACACACACAAAGACACACAAACACTAAGACACACACACACACACACGTCTAATTGACGTGCCTAGGACAAAATGGTAACACACACACACACACACACACACACTCTTATATACAACAGGCCAAGTGTCTAATTGACATGTGCCTAGGACAAAATGGTAACTAACTAACAGGTATGATAAAGCTCATGGTTCAGGGAGAGTGACCTAGTAGCGACCAGTGAAGAGGCGGGGCCAGGAGCTTGGACTCGACCCCTGCAACCTCAACTAGGTGAGTACAACTAGGTGAGTACACACACACACACACTAAGACACAGACACACACATACAGAGAGGTATGATAAAGCTCATGGTTCAGGGAGAGTGACCTAGTAGCGACCAGTGAAGAGGCGGGGCCAGGAGCTTGGACCCGACCCCTGTAACCTCAACTAGGTGAGTACACACACACACACTAAGACACAGACACACACACACACACACACACACACACACACACACACACACACACACACACACACACACACACACTGAGAAATATCAATGTTGAGAATGAAACATCACAACAGAAAAAAATAAATAGGCAACAACATTATAATACTTAAATTGATCTGTACACACATAATAATAAACTGGTCCCAGTAATGATTGTTAGTTAAGAAATATGCTGCTGATCCATGCCAAGATGCCAAAAAATAAAGAAAGAAAGGTTACCTCAGTTTCATGCATGTTAGCTTAGGAACAAGAAAAGACACACATTACCACATATTATCAGCCATAAATAGACCTTTTTTTTGTTTGCAAAAGAAAAAAAATGTGCCCCGAGTTATATCCCATAAATCAAAGTTGAAAGAAACAATTAAGTTTTTATAATAAAAACTGGAGTAGAAAATACAGCAATATACAAAAAATTTATTATGTTTCATAGTATACCAAACTTATGATAAACCATTTTTTCACATTTTATTTCATTGTTAATAGAGAGGAGGAGAGGAAAGGATGAGATGTGCATTTACATGTTCAGAACAAAAATGAGCTTTGAGGGTGGAGCTAGCTAGTGTAAGGTCCTTTTGTGAATGAGCTTACATTATGTTACTATCTTTTTTCTTATATACACACATACACATAACACATTGTGTGTGTGTTTATATATATATCTTCTTTCTTTCAACACACCGGCCGTATCCCACCGAGGTGGGGTGGCCCAAAAGGAAAAACGAAAGTTTCTCCTTTCAAATTTAGTAATATATACAGGAGAAGGGGTTACTAGCCCCTTGCTCCCGGCATTTCAGCCACCTCTTACGACACGCATGGCTTACAGAGGAAGAATTCTGTTCCACTTCCCCATGGAGATAAGAGGAAATAAACAAGAACAAGAACTAGAAAGAAAATAGCAGAAAACCCAGAGGGGTGTGTATATATATGCTTGAACATGTATGTGTAGTGTGACCTAAGTGCAAGTAGAAGTAGCAAGACATACCTGAAATCTTGCATGTTTATGAGACAGACAAAAGACACCAGCAATCCTACCATCACGTAAAACAATTACAGGTTTTCGTTGTACACTCGCTTGGCAGGACGGTAGTACCTCCCTGGGCGGTTGCTGTTTACCAACCTACTACCTAGGAGATGGATGGATGGATGGATGGATTATATATATATATATATATATATATACAGTGGACCCCCGGTTAACGATATTTTTTCACTCCATAAGTATGTTCAGGTGCCAGTACTGACTGAATTTATTCCCATAAGGAATATTGTGAAGTAGATTAGTCCATTTCAGACCCCCAAACATACAGGTACAAACGCACTTACATAAATACACTTACATAATTGGTCGCATTCGGAGGTAATCGTTATGCGGGGGTCCACTGTGTGTGTGTGTGTGTGTGTGTGTGTGTGTGTGTGTGTGTGTGTGTGTGTGTGTGTGTGTGTGTGTGTGTGTGTGTGTGTGTGTGTGTGTGTGTATATATATATATGTGTGTAAAACAACCACTCTGAAAGAATAGAGAAATTCCAAATTTACAGAAAACCTACAAATAACTGTTCCTATGTCCACTATTATTCCTCGCATCAAGATAGAGTCAAACTGTCTGTTTTCTCATCAATGTTTTCGAGAGCTTTACGAATTTGTAGTCCTGAGTTCATAGATGAGGAAATATCCAAAATTTATGAAATAGGTAATGATTTAAAATACCCAAGAAATGTAATTGATAAATCTTTTAAAGTTGCTAGAAATACTTTTTACAATTCAAAAAGGGACAACCAGCCTTATTCAACTAAAAATATGTTGGTTCTCCCTTACCATGAAAACTTGGTTGATATGCCTTCTCTTCTTAAGACTTTTAATATTAAAGTTCTATTCAAAAATCTTGATACAGTAAAAAAAACTTTTGATAAAGAATTCCCCCCAAAATGCTGATGGATGTGTCTATAAGATTCCTTGTAAAATTTGCGATAAAGTTTATTACAGTCAAACTGGTAAAAATCTCGAACCAAGATTAAAACAACATAAATATAGCATTAGAACTGGACAAGATTCCAATGCTCTATTTATTCATGTAAGAGATTTTAACCATCCAATTGATTTTCAAAAAGATGAGAAAGTAGTATCAAGCAAGTCCATGGTCGACAGGAATATAATTGAATCTTGTTTCATAAAAAGCAGTTTTGACAATAATATGAATATTTCCTTTGGTTTATATAAATTAGATCCATTTATAATTAATAGAATTTGGGAAGAATTTAATAATACACTGGACAAATAATAATTTTTAAATTTTCTTGGGTAGAATAGTTTGTGGGTGAGTTGTGCAAAGGACCTATCCAAGTTGGGTCGGCGCACGTCAGGTGTTTAATCGTTGTGGGATCTGATAGTGAGGTGCTGGCCAGACCCCTTATATAGCTTCCTTGGATGCTTTACTTTCATAGTTCCTTGATAATGGGGAGTAGTCACGAAAGCGCTTGAATTTCTCTATTCTTTCAGAGTGGTTGTTTTGCATATTCTGAAATCACCTGTTTACTGTGATCTTATTGCATGCATGCATATATATATATATATATATATTATATATATATATATATATATATATATATATATATATATACACACACACAAAAATGATACAAAGTAAAA